AAATGAGGGCAAATTCCATCTTAGACAGTTGCCTCTGGAACATGTGCCTCTTTTGGGTACTTTCCCTTCACCTCTTGCTCTAAATTTTAGATTTTCCCTTGACCTTTCTCAAGTGACAATGGTTAGTGGGACCAGCATAAACAAAGCTAGTAATAAAAACTTGACACAGGGTCTAACCCTTCCCTGCCCTATGCAAAACTGAAAAAAACATGCCTGTACATATGCCTTAGGCTGGGTTCACACCTAGGCGTATCAAACATGCACGTTCGTCGCGCATTTTACAAAAAAAAAGACAAATGCGCGTTCCCGAGGGCTACCTGGCTGTATCCCAATGGATACGCATGGCAAATACGCCCCAAAGAAGCTCCTGTACTTCTTTGGGCGTAGGGCGTTTTGTAGCGTGTTCATACGTCCTGTAATATGCCCAGGTGTTAACCATACCCATAGGAAATAATGGGATTTCGGTTTTTGAGCGTTTTGCAGAGAGTAGGAACGCGCTACAAAATGCCCAGGTGTGAACCGGGCCTTAAAGTTTGATGAGTTTACAGATAATCACATGTCCCCAAGTCATATACTCTGGATTATAATATCTGAGCAGAAAGGCAACCAAGATCAAACAGATTGCCCAAGAGCATAATATTGAAATGGAATAGCCTGCAGGAAGACTCCAGATCAGCAATGCAAGTGAAGCAGTCAGGAGACACAAGAAGTGGAACCAAGACAGAGTCAAGCAAGAAGAGGGCAGGGCATTAACAAGTAATGTAAATTATATGTCCATGTACCTCTTTAAAAAGGCACTTGGCATAAAAAAAGTTTTAAACTAGGCCTGTTCTAACTTTGGACTACAGTCCGTGGCCTGCAAACTGTTTGAAAGTAGACTTGTGCGCCGTCAAAAAATTAGTTCTCTTTCGTTTCGTTTCGGAATATTCGTTATTTCGTATTTCGTAATTCGTAACTGAACTCAATTCAGATTCGGATTCGTACGAAATACGAAATTTCGTTAGTGGCGGTTATATTTTCGTAACTTTGCGAACATTCGTTATGATGAAGTTAAAAAGCAAAATACCTTTGTTAATATTGGAGTGGTAGTTGTTTTTTTATCCGAAATACGAATTCCGTTAACGGATTCCGTATTCCGAATTCTGTATTTCGGACTTTAAAAAAAACTACCATCAACTTCAATATAAATGTACTTTGCTTTTTACCTTCAATATAACGAATGTTCGTAACGGAACGAAAATACGTCAACGGAATTTCGTATTTCCTGCCTGTATTTGTAATGCAACTCTCAGCAGCAGAAGAGAACCTCTGATTGGTCAACCAAAACGAAATACGAATTCCGTTAACGGATTCCGTATTCCGAATTCCGTATTTCAGACTTTAAAAAAAAAACTACCATCAACTCCAATATAAATGTACTTTGCTTTTTAACTTTAATATAACGAATGTTCGTAACGGAACGAAAATACGTCAACGGAATTTCGTATTTCCTGCCTGTGTGTGTAACTGTGTATTGTAATGCATCAGCAGCAGCGGATCCGTATCTCGGATTAAAAAAAAATCTTGTCATGCTGTTCAACCTCATTTACAGGGGTAATATTAGTTCCTGTTTCAAAGAAATTCGGATCCGAAATTCGTTAACGGAATTTCGTATTTCGGATATAATTCGGAAACTGCCATTCGGATTTCGGATGCTCCGAAATTCGGAATTTCATGAAAATTCGTACGAATTTCGATTCGTAACGAAACGAATCGCACATGTCTATTTGAAAGCCACACCAGCATAGCAGGGGGAACTGTTCCAACTGATAAGGTATACTACACAATTCTTACACTGAACAGTGAAATATTATTCAGTAATTTAGACAGCAAATTAAGCCCCCTTTTCTCTTTTTTAATTAAGTACATTTAATGAGTTTTATTACTCAAGCACAAACATTATTACTGGCCCCCACAATCCAGTGCAAAGTGGGTCCCTATAATTTTAGCTTGGACAACCATGGATTGAATATGTAAAGATTTCATATTTAGAATCTAGAGTGTGGATTGATCGGTATTGAAATTCTTGCCTTTCCCTGGCAGAGCCACTTTTGCACATATGTTAAACTGCACATTTTAGGCCTGGAGATTACTTAAACACCTGCTGTCTGATGGTTGTAATTAAACGGCCGGACAGCGGATTCTTGGATGCGGATGGGCGTTTTTAAATTTCCGTGCCCGCGCGCTAGACGGCGCACACGATCGGGAAATCAGCTTGAAATATAAACAGCCATCGAGGGCTGTTTGCATACAAGCGTTTGGGCATCTGTAGAGCCGCCCGAACATTTGTAATATGCATGCGGATGTGTGCCCCCCCTCCGTTGCAGCCGCCGCTGGCGATCCCAAGCTCTGCTGTGCCCGGTGTGAGCCCAGGACCAGCGCAGCAGCTCTGTGACTGGAGATCAAAGGGAGCTCAGTACATGATCTCTCTTTGATCTCCTCCTCGTTGTTGGAATGCAGGAAGTGATGTACAGTATATTACATCACTTCTGCATTTGTCTGTCACTCTCCGGTACAGAAGCCGGAGAGAAGCTGGTGAAGCAGGTCTCTGCTTCATCAGCTTCCCTGGGAGTCCCTAGGTGACATTAGGGGTCTTAAAGACCCCTGATGTCTCCATAAAGAGGACCTGTCACTGCAAATTGGCTTGTTAACCCCCTATGTGATAGCAATACATTTAAGTGAAAAAAAAAGGTTTAAAAAAATAATTTAAAAGTCACATATAAAAGCAATTAAAAAAAACATTTTAAAAAAAAGTCCCCCACCCCCACATATACATGCAAACATGCGTCGGGTGCACTTACGTGCGAAAACAGCGATTGCGGCACCCATTGCGCATTGCACCGCACATATCACATGTCACAGCGAAAATCGGAGTGGGAGCAATATTTCTAAGGCCATCAATCACTGAAAACACTAAAATGATGAGCGGTAAAAGCTTTCAAAGCGTCGCCTATGGCCAATTTTGGGTATGGTATTTTTTTTAACGATTTTACGGGCACATGCAATTTTAAAGCTTGACATGTTTGGGGTCTATTTACCCGATGTGATCCCATCTTTTATATTTTACCAAAAATGTGGGTAATAATACATGTTTTATAACATAACATAGGGAAAACAGGTTTTTTCCCCAAAATTTTCTGTACTTTTTTCATAATATAGTAAAAAATAAAAAAACCCAATGGTGATTAAATACCACAAAAAGAAAGCTCTATCTGTCCCCCAAAAATGGTATAAAATTAATTTCAGTATAGCATTGCATGATGGAATAAATGTCATTCAAATACTGAAAAATTGCCTGGACAGGAAGGGTCCTTCATCAGAACCAATGAAGGAGGCGTGTCCTCAGAAACGCGTAAACCATCAGGGATGAAGTCCCTCGTGTAAAGATCCTTTTCATGCCTGTTTAAACTCGACTTTTGTGCGTACCATTGCACTTGTTTTTATCTCGTTTTAATAAAAGTTTTTACGCGATGGAGGCGCTCTCTGTGTTTTGTTTTGCAGTGCTGAGGTTTCCCTAAACCTAGTGAGAGCTGCCTCGTTAGCGTCTGTTTCCGCGATCATTGAAGATTGTCCCCTTTCCTGGAGTTTAGTCGCTGGCGCTGTGTTATAAATTGTCTGTCATTTTAAATTAATTTTAATGCACATAAACACAATACAATACGCAGTGTTTGGCTTTTTTAAGCCATCTGACAGATGAAGTTGTGCCAAGTAAATAGATACCAAACATGTCAAGCTTCAAAAGTAGAATGATTGCTCTGACTCTGGTGTGCAAAAGAATACTCAGCATACTGTATTTGGCACAATTGTAATTTTCATACATAGGCACACTTGAAGTTTGTTTGCATTTGTATGTACGTGGAGGGTGGGGGCCTGTAAAAAAAAATTTTGGTGTTTTTTTTTAACTTTATATTTCTAAACCCTTATTCTTTTCAACTTAACTTTACTTCTATCACATAGGGGGCTCACAAGGACCTTTGTGCAGTTTACCTATAGTACATTCTTAATTGTGCAGCCTATGTCGGAGCCACACAGCCTTTCTCTAGAAAATGGTGGTTTTCACTTCACACACATGCCAGGGTCAAATTCATTCCTATGAGCAACTCTTTGAGACTGCCATGGGTACAGTTTTCCAATAGAAATAAATGGGGTTGTGGCATCATGCATCGTACATAGCACCCATTTTGTGGAAAAAGCCTATGAGGCTCGGAGTGGGGCCACATGATGAAGACTGATTGATCAGGGCTGAAGGTAAGAATTTGACAGGACAACTGTACAAAAGCACATTAAATTCAGCAACACATTCTCTGAATATGGGCTCACTGAACATACACTGCACTTACCACTGTTATTTACATATTTGTATGCCTTAGCTAATGTATTATTGTAGTATGCAATCTTTATGGGAAAGTGCACAAAAAAGTTTGTATGAGTGCTTCTGTTCTGTGGTCTTTGTATACAGTACGTTAGAAAATAATCCAAAGCACAGGCTAATGGTATAAGTGGGTTATTTTAGGTTTTCTAAAATAAGTAATGCATTTTAACCAAGAAGGGTGAAAAAAGAAAAAACCCTTACAGCACAGAATACAAGTATCCAATTTTGGGCTTCCATTAATCTTTCTGTTTGGCATTGTGTGTTCTTTGCACTAATCTAAGACTGAAGAAAATGAAAGTTGTTTGAGTCTTAGCTCAGCATTGCTCAGCCATCTTTGCTCAATCAATCAACTGATCAATAAGTAGGTTAAGCAGTCAATCAATTAAGGATTGTTTAACTTTGTAATATGCTTTTAACCAAAATGACCTTCCTTTATTCTTTTAAGGACAAACAGAATGTGTTTCACCCTGTTACAAGGTGTGAAATGATTCACAAGGCAGTTAAAATGTAACCGGATATATCAAAAATTGTTACAACCTCCCACACCAAAAATAGAGATGGCTTAAAAAAGTCATACAACGACATGACTGGAGTGACGTGTCTCGGGAAGTGGCTGCTGCTTAGATGCTGCAATCGGATCTAATCCAGTGTACGATAGTGTGACGTTCCGGAGAGCCGGCTGGACACCCGGGGACCAAATAGTCGTCCTAGGCCGAGTGTTACAAGGGTCCAGGTGTAGTTGTCACAGCCCGGCACCACCATGATCAAAGCCATCCTCATCTTCAACAACCACGGCAAGCCGCGGCTGTGCAAGTTCTACCAGCACTACAGTGAAGACACACAACAGCAGATTATTAGAGAAACATTCCATTTAGTTTCTAAACGAGATGAGAACATCTGCAACTTCCTGGAAGGAGGATTATTAATAGGAGGATCTGACAATAAGCTCATCTATCGACACTATGCAACATTATATTTTGTGTTTTGTGTGGATTCTTCAGAAAGTGAACTTGGTATTCTAGATCTTATACAAGTATTTGTGGAAACCTTGGACAAATGTTTTGAGAACGTCTGTGAACTTGACTTAATTTTCCATGTAGATAAGGTCCACAACATCCTGGCAGAAATGGTGATGGGCGGCATGGTTCTAGAGACCAATATGAATGAAATTGTTGCACAGATTGATGCACAGACAAAGGTGGAAAAATCTGAGGCTGGATTAGCAGGTGCTCCGGCTCTGGCTTTGTCTGCTGTAAAGAACATGAACCTTCCTGAAATGCCAAGAAACATTAACATTGGTGACATCAGTATAAAAGTGCCAAACTTGCCCTCTTTTAAATAGCATTTAGCATTCTACTGCCTTCTCCCATACCTAATTGATGCTCAGATAAGTTTACCAAATTTCAGTGAGTTTTCTATGAAGTGAAGGAACTGCTTGGGTTGTTTGTGCTAATCTGCAATGTTGGATGTAAGCGTTGCTCTTTACTTACCAATGTTAAAGAAGAAAAACGCTATCTGAAATGTGGTTCCAAAACGGCATCCAAGCTCCTTTTTTTAAGGCATGTTATTTGTCTTGGCTGCTGCATTGTCAGAAAAAGTATTAAAAAAAACAAAAATAAAATAAAAAAGTTCTTGAATTTTCAAAAAAAAGTCATACAACAATAGTTTGACCATATATATATACTGTATATATATATACAGGAGAGCCTGGCCTCACCTCCACCCACCTCCTAAGTCTTACTGGCCCATCATTGCCATCAGACTCGCCAGTAGTGATTTTTAATAGGTGGAAGAGGCCAGGGAGAAATCAACCTAATGTGCTGTCACTTGGAGGTGCCTCCTATGTGGTTCCAGTGGCAGTTTAAGTGTACATTTGCTTTAAAGGAAAACTACACATCAATTAACAAATGATATAATAGCTACCCAAGTAATAATATGATTTAATATTATTAAAATGACCTTTCTATTTTAATCTGCAATTGCTGTGATTTAAGCTGTGATTTATTGATGTAAGCATTCTTTCCAACTATAGCAATCATAGGAATTTTGTACACTGTCTGTTTATAATTTATGTGCTAAGCCTAAACGAAGCTTGAAGTCAAATTACCCCGTAATAGGAGTTTCATGTTTACTGTGATACTTCTGAAGCATCCTTCAGGCAGCAGGGCCTGCTTACTTTTTTTTGTATAACATTACACATAGAATTCATGCATATAGTGTCCCTACCTGGAATAAAACCCGGGGCCTCAGTGCTGCAGCACGGGTATGCAGACCTCACATCTAGCATACCGCTGTAACGTAATACAGCGCCCATTATTAATCAGGCTAATCAATTAATTATTCCTTAACAAAATTATACTGCGGTAACATTCTAATCTACAGAACTATGCGAGAGGAACTAGGAAATGACCAATTATAATTCAGTCGCTTGAAATTACAGGTCATTGCATTGCATTAGTCTGTTCTTTCTTCTTCATCAAAATGGGAGATTTTCTAAAATCACTTGTGATGGGATTACATAAAAAAAGGGAGTTTATGTATAAAAAGGAAGTTACAGAATTCCAATTAACTGCTTCTTGGAGTCTTACAGGCAATATATCAAAACTTGTACCAGTAGGCACCTTGTCATTATGCAGACAATAAAGGAGTCACTTATATTATGCATTCTTTATTGTCAATCGAGGTCTGTTTATTGATGTATTACAGCAGCAGAGCTATCGATGCGATAAACGGCACCAACTGTCTAATCAATTTCCTGTTTGTCTTTGTTTTAACTGGCAGGAAGAAGAATGAAAAAGATTCGGTTGGTTTTGGATCAGTAAGTGACACAGGTATATTCAATATAAGCATTTCACAAGGATCAATGGGGGAGAATTAATGATTACATTGTCAGGATATTCCTGAGATATCTTTGATATATCACATTTGCATATTAAGTGAAGCCTGGGATACGCATTGCAATGTAAGAATTAAACTGATCTGAGCTATACAAATAAATATGATGTTAAACAAGAACTCCAACCAGAATTAAAAAAATGCAAGCAACTGCATTCAACTAAAGGAAGCATAAGAGCTAGGATTTATGTGCAGTAAGACAGGTGTTTGGCATTTAAGCAACACTGGGGGTGATTCAATAAAGGGTTTGCAACACACTTCTAGAGATATGGCTGTATCTAAAACTCTTGCCCCACAATTATAAAAGTTTGTAACAGTTCCCGAGTTAATACCAACACATGCAACAAATTTGCAAAGTTCATTCATGAGCAAATACTGCCTTTCCAGAGTTAAGGAAACGTCCGTGTCATTCTGAACTAAGCAGAGCTGTGCTAACCGCCGCCAATCCCCCTGGCACTGGTTACTGGGAAGTTGTCGGCCCACAGTTGTCATTAGTTGCCTCAACCAACTCCATATTAATACCCATGATTTTGCAATGGGATGTCCAGCAAACCCATGTTGATGTGGAGGTCATGTGGTTACACACTTTTGACCATTTAGTGTAAAAGACAAGTACTGATAAACTGATCAAAATAATATTTTCATGTTGTAAAGCTTACCATAAATGGCCCAAACCCTTCCCTGATTCTTATGCTGTTTAGGGCTACCTTAGGAAGCCAAGGATGGTCAATTTTGAAATAGGAGAGACTCGTTATCAGTCACTGGAACAAGTTCCCTGCAATAGAAAAGGCATTACATTTACCTCTGTAGTGGCCAGTGTCTTTTACCTTCATGTTCTTCCAGCTCTGCTGTCTTCATCAGACACTTCACCATTTAACACCTTCAGAAGTGTTGGTTCCCGGGGGTCCCTCGCTTTGTTCTCTGGTTTCATCCTCCAACCCCTATGTTACTTCTGTACCCTACAAGATTTTGAGAGAGCCAAGAGCAAAGGTAGAACACATGGGCCGAGTATAATACCTCTTCTATTGCAGGGAACACCCATTTCAATTTTTTTAAGTGACTGACAGGGTCACATTAACGCTCTTGATTACTTGATGTTTTACCCTTCCTAGAGCCAATCCCTATAATCTGTTTCTTCACATTCTCTTACTAGACTTCAATACATCCTAATTGAAACTGCGGTTAAATTCAGAACATAAGAAACAAAAAACCTAAAGACTTAAAATGCAGAAGTTCCTTGGGGACTAACCGGGGCTGCATTTCATTTACGACAGGATCTATATTTTATATTGGCCCAATTAATGGCATAACAGCTTGCACATAACCCAGCTTTCTGCTTTTATTTCTGCCCTGAATGATAATGGATTTCTTTATTGCCCGACTAATGTTAAGAGGATCACAGGTGGGGACTCCACGCTTCACTATAAAGACAACTTACATAGTCTGCGTTTGCCATTCGCTTTGAAGAATAATTATTGTGAAATGCTAAAAGGGATAACATCAACTTTGGTTGTCGTGTCAGAAATGTTTTATCTAGGTTGAGTTACGGCAAACTTGAGCCAATTAGATTTTTTAAGGTTACATAAAATTATTTAGGCTTCTCCACACCTCCTCCTGTTCCAGTTGTACTGATGCTAAAAGCTGTGATTTCATGCACTGCCTGTAGTACCGCATTGAGGTTCTATAGCAGCATGGCCACTGACATTTATAGTAGACCCATCAATCCTGCATGAGTATATTCTTGACACGCAGGGCTGTCTTCAATATTGATTGGATCCTGGCTAAATATTTATTTGGGCCCCCAGTCCACAGCATCCCGTCCCCTACCTGCCTCTCTCCTCCATGCAATTTTCCTCTCCACCCCAACATCCCAAAAAAAAGACGTGAGACATCTCCACGGTCGCGCTACACAGCTTACGGTAGGGGCAGAGCAACACTATGCAATGCCGATTGCATAGCAAACAGAACGGTGCTAGATGTGTATCTAATGCAGGCTCAAGGGGAAGCTGCTTTGGACCCAACAACAATGACTGGATCCAGGGCAACTGCCCCTTTTGCCCTGCATTAAAGACGGCCATGTTGACACGTGACAACATAAAAAAATGTTTGAGCTTCATTTAAATGACCATGGCAAGCATTTTTATAGTCGGCCTGAGGAGCATATTGGGAGATTGATGTCATTTGAGTTTTACAGTCAGAGGAAGGAATTTTCTTAGGGGTCTATTCACGAAGCTGCCGAAGGATCTGGCTGTAGCTGCGGCCGATCCTTCGGCTAGCTTCGGCCCCAGGACCCCTTCGGTTCAGTAGAACCGAAGGGGTGCTGTACGGACATGCTGAGCATGTTCGCCTGACCTGAAGCCACGCGAAGCAAGCCGATGTACCGCTGAAATCAACAGTACCAGCCTGAAGTGAATAGCCGAACAGTGTTCGGCTCACTTCACTTCAGATCGGTCATTCACTCGGCTGCCCTCGGCAGCTTAGTGAATAGACCCCTTATTCTTCCCTCCCCCCAGTGATTACACACTTTGGATGGTTCAGTTACATAGTAAGAGGCAGCAAGGAGGCTAATGACTAAATTGGAAGAAAAAAAGCATTGTCATTTTCAGAACAAGGTCAGCAATGGCAGCACACATATTTCTTTGGTAACAGATATACTTTAAAGCCCAATTGAAGCCTCACACCTTTTTATTGCTTTATAGTCCTGTACCCACACATGCTATGATGTGTGACTGATTTTTGTTAGGAAATGTCTTAAATACCTCTGTTAATCAAGGTACTGCACCTTGCCTACCTTGCCTAGAATCCTAGCACCGGCCCTGACTACAAGTAATACCACATCTGATTTTTATTGATACAAATGTGGGGAGAACATACTGTAGAAACTACTGTGCACGCAGATAGCATGCTTTTTGGGAATCAAATCAAAAGACCTTATTGTGCTAGCCAAAAATGCTAAACATATAGCTGCCATGTTGTGGACTCTGCAAATATTTAATTCATATATTGCACATTCATTCTCTAGACTAATTTTATCACATTGGTTGCTTTTTTCATTACCATACAAAAGCCAGTGAGAACAAAAAGAAAATGCCAGAAGAAACAAACAGTTACCAAAGAGGAGAAACATATGTATTCTGAAATAATGAGCCGTATGTGTAATACATCGTTTGTAGGTACACAGTATGTTGTTTGGTCCAACCTGATAATGAACATTAAAATCAATGCCTACATACCTCTTACTTTTATTATAAGGATCAAGTCCTCATTTTGTTCTTTTGTGCATACCCCTGCGTACCCTGCATCAGCTGGCTTTTTATTCTTGTTCTTTTCACTTTATTTTTATCCAAATTTCTTTTGATTTCCTCCTTTCTTTAACAGCTCCCATTTCCTCCCTCCCAACATTGTCTTTGGAACAGTACAGCGGAAAGAAAAGAAAAACACATATAATTTGTTACAGATAAACCTCAAATCCTTGCA